GCCTCAGAGCTTGTAAAGGCTGCCATGGTAGGCTCTTCCATGCCTCTCAAGAGCTAAGCTGGGGGCTCAGATCACCTCTTAAGTAGCAAAGTGTTTGTGTCTCTGCAGTCAGTGAGTACAGGGAAGGGAGCAAGCCGTAAAGCATCCTGTACTGCAGACCCACCTGGAGCAGTGTTTGACCCTCCAGACAGTACCTGAAAGTCAAAGGCACTGCCTGGTAGTGATGGATGTTCTTAATTGCCAGGAACCCTGAGGCTTCTGCAGTGCCACAGGTATGCAACCCACACTGAGAGAGGTGCTCCAATTATGCAGTGGTGCTAAGGTTGCCATTTCCCATAAGCCTGTACCCTCTACAAGGACATCTACCATCCAAGAGATGCCTACAACCAAAGCTGTCCCCCCAGAGGCGGCTGCTTCTCACTGCTGTAGCAGTGGGCAGCACCAAGCAGTGCATCTGTCCGGAGCAGCCCTGCTCCTTCCTCACCTGGGCAGTGCTGTGCTGCAGCCAACTGCTCGTGGCCTGGCCCTTCCTGTGGCAGGCAGCAGAACAAATCAGACACTTTGCATTTCATCAACCTTCCTGGAGAGCGCTGCACAATTGTTCCCACAGCAGGATGCTGAGCAAGCCGGCCTCAGCAAGCACCACCTTCCTCTGCACCGATTCATCTGTCTGGAAGAAAGGAATCAAGGGAAGGAAATGAAGATGTTACATCTGTAATCATATTTCACAGCTGCACAGCAATTTTCCTCCCAGTGCATTCAGCAGCTGGGATGCTGTGACCTCTGCCATAGCAGGCAGCAGCCAGCCCATGGTGCTGTGCAGCCGATGGAAGAGTCGTGGAGGAGTGCTTTGCTTGCAGCAAAAGACATCCCTTTTGTGTTCAGGTGTTCTCAGAATATTCCCTGGTGGAGGTCACCTTGCAGTGCTGGAGGATCAGGCAGATGCTCCCTTTGTAAGGCGAGGTTCAGCTGTGCTGCTGCCTGTCCCCTCCCTGGCACATGTTGGCTGGCTGGTGCCTGGCAGGTAAAGTGCAGTGTGAGGGATCCCATTCTGAATGAATACCCACTCCAGCTGCTCTCTGTGCTGGGATGGGCTGTAAGGTAGCAGGCTGAGCTGAAGACAACATTTGCCAAGGAGGTGGGTGCCCCTGTGCTGCTTTTCTGGCACAGCTGAAGTTGGGATGTTAAAAATGAGTTAGTTTCTTCATGAGGCTCATAATGTAATATTAAATGATAAGGATAATGTATCCAAGTTGAAGCCCTGCATACAGATCCACATTTGTAACTTCTCTTGGCCACACACTGCAAACGGTCACCTAAATTTTGAGCACTTCAATGCTGGATTTTAAACCTATTTCGTTTGTAATATATGACCCTCGTTAGAAAGGCTCGGGTTAATTTGTCTCAGTTGTGAATCATCAGTGCATTGCCAAAATGATGTAGACTATAGGATGAGATATTATCAAAGTGCTGTTAACTATGCTTGCACCTCGTATTTCACCAAATATTTACAGTATGGCTTTTTTTATGTCTGATTCCTTTGTTGAATGGACCAGAGCAGCAGATCCAATGTGACACACCATGTGGATGTTGGCTGCAGCCCAGCGGGGCTGGCAGAGCTGATGGGCATCGATGGGCAGATTTCTGCTGTGTTTGCTGGGGAAGCAGTGAAAAGGATTAAAGCAAAATGCGGAGGACCAAAATTTCAGGATCACTTTTGCTTGCCTCTGTTGCTCCTTAACCAGGCTACAGGTGTGGTGCTTGAACAAAATGCCATCTGTGTAACGTACAGCCTTTGCTGCTGGGTGTGATGTAAGTGCTGTTGGACTTAGGAGAGCTGTGGTTTGTGAAAAGTCAAACTCCTGCTCCATTGCATCTGCATGTCAGCAGCACTGGAACGCTCATCAGGGACATTTTTCTCCTTAACAGCCAACTTCTGGTCATGCTTAATTACAGCAATCACTTTTTATTCTGCTTTATGATGATCTGGTATCATAAATCTTCTCTGCAGTTAGTAGAGAGGTGGTTTTTTGTCAATCCTGCAGTGCAGAAAGACATCTTGCCTTAATTCTAGAGGGAAGGAAAGCTGAAAAATTCCCTCTGCCTCTTGAGCAGTTTCTTGTTGGTGCAATTCTGTCTTGCTGGTAGGAGATGAACAGCATTTCCCCTTTCAAACCCTCCTTTGCCCATAGGTTCCTCAGGCTGCCCACTTTGGTTAACGCTGTTCCATTGGATGCTGCCAGCTGAGGTGCAGGCACACATCCAGCTGTAGGTACGTGTTGGGGAACCTGTGGCTCCTGACTGCTCTGTTCTGAGTACCCCTCATGGAGACACCTGGAACTTGCAGGTATGAGTGGGACTGTGGAAGATCATAGAGTAGTTTGGGTCGGAAGATTTAAGATGATTTAGTTCCACCCCCTTGCTATAGGCAGGGATACCTCCCAGCAGACCAGGTTGCTCACAGCCCCATTCAACCTGGCCTTGAGCACCTCCAGGATGGGAGCATCCACAGCCTTGCTGGGCAACCTGTTCCAGTGACTCATCACACAGTAACGAATTTCTTCCTAATATCTAGTCTAAATTTTCCTTCTTCCAGTTTTCCTTTCTTTCCTATTTTCCCTTGTCCTGTCACTACATGCCCTTAGCATGATGATCTGGTTTGTAAAATGGGTGATGCAGTGTGGAAGCAGGAAAATCACTCAGTCACCTTTTGCAATGTAGCCAGCATTCTGCATGCCTCTGCCTGGCTCTACCTGTGTGCAGCCTGTGTCCCTGGGGGGGACCATTGGCTTCATCTGTAATGAAAAAAGCATACAACCTAAACAAAAGCCCCAAAGCCATATGGTTCAACATCTGATTTGTTTCAAGTCACTCAAGTGACAAGCTGAAAACCCTCCCTTTCACATATGCTTAGGAGTTGGGGTGTGGATTTCTCCAGGAAAAAAGCCTTCTGCCTGCCTTTGAAGGCAGGGCTCTGCCTTTGATGTAGCAGTGAGCAAGGAGGTGGCCATGTGCTGCAGCACAGTGATGGCTCTGCTCCCTCCCAGGTACCTGCCCTGCCGCCTTATTTACAGCTCATACAGAAAATGAGAAGCAGAGCCTTACAGAGCGCTGCTAATCCTGACCAGGCCGGCTTTATTGTAATTTGAAGCACAGTGTATGCACTGTCATATCTGCTCTGCTGTTAAGGAAAGGGAGGCTTTTCATTCTAACAGACCCGAGGGTCAGGTGAGGGAACGAGTGGGCACTTCTGGCCCTGAAATAGCTGCTTCTGGGGGCTGCTTGGGGCAGATTTCCTTAGAATGGGAAGAAGAGCAGTGTGGGGTGTGACGTGCAGCCCTAGGGGCTCCGGGCTGCAGGGAGGAGCTGCAGCCATGGCTGTGGGGAGCTCAGTGCTTGGGTCAGTTATGAAGCCTGCAGGAAATGAAGATTAAATAAGTGTTAGGGATGGTTACACTACAGGAATAGCACAGCATGAGAGATGTTGGGGCAGGACCTTGGGGCATATCAGGGCCTTCCTGGGTGCGCAGGAGGGCATGGGGGTGATGTCCTGCAGCAGAGCTGTGCCCAAATGGAGGCAGAAACAATGACATTCAAATCCCAACTTGGACAAAGCAGTAAATCTGAATAACTTGGGGCTTATTGCAAATTGAAATTCAAATCTAAATTTCAACAAACGCTGCCGGTCGCTGCTTTCTTTAATATTGGCAGTCCTCTCCTTCTCCCCAGCTCCATCGCCAAGTGAAGCAGCACCGTAAGCATCCTGAACCTACAGTAGTGTGGCTGCACAGCCATGCACTGCTCATCCCACACTAGGTCCAAACCCAGTGCTGTGCCCAGGGCCATGCACTGCCTGCAGGCTGCAGCTCTCTGCACTGTAGCATTGGCATTGAGCTTTGTTTGATGGGGAAATTTCCCTCTCTTTTGGTTATTAAATTGTCTGTCCTGAGTTGAAGAGTGTGTTGCAGCTGAAATGCTGAAAAAGGCACAGAGCTGCTAATACAGAGCTCTAGCAGCAATTTGGTTTGCTTTCACACGGTAAATAAGAGTTACCTGCTATTCTTTGATCAGCCTTTTTTTCTGTTACGAAATGAATGTGTTGACAAATCGTGTCACCAAAAAGAAATGCATGGCTTTGATGAAATGAAAGGAAACAAGCGTGTGCTGGAGGCTTGAAAATGCACCTGGGGAGGCTGGGTGGGATGCAGTGTGGCTGGGGGTGCTGGGGAAGTGGCAGGGATGGAATCAGAGTGTGCTGGGGGCAGTGCCTGTAAGTGGGAAGCAAGGGGCACTGCAATGCACTGTGGTGAGGGAGCAGGAAGGGATGGGGGTTGGATCTGTGGCTTTGCAATTGGAACTGTGTGAAGCTTTAGGAAAGTGCCAGCAGCAGTGCTGGAAGGGTTTGGTGGTGAAAATTCTAGGTTTCAGTGAACTGTTCCACAGGATGCTGGGTAACACCAAAACTGAGAGGTTTTTGTGTCTGCTTCTTGAAAAGCTTGGTGTTGGTGCTGGAGGAATGAGGTGCCACAAATGAGTGGATGCTGGGGAGCACTGCTTTGTGCTGGAGCTTTGCACAGCCGGAGGCACTGAGCTCCCAGCACTGCGCTCATCCCAGCCAGCTCCACTTTCCTCCTGCAGCTCCAGGCTGTGGGTGCAGGAGATGTGCTGTGGCAGCATGCACGCAAAAGTCTCTTCCCTTGGGTTTTCCCCAGATATATTACTCCAATATTTAGGGGGTTGTCTAAATCTGACTTGCTGCCCAGCTGGGGGCATGGATGTGCTGACCCACAGGGCTCTGCTCTCTCCTTGGCTGCTGTTGGTTTGTGAGCACCAGTGACCACTCCTAGCAAATCTAACAGCACTTCATATCAGTTCTGAGTTTGTCACTTCACCTTAATGAACGCTGATTAATTAATCAGTAATAGTGAAATTATCCTTTACATAGTCAGATACTCAAATTAGTCAGTATTAAATAGAAATCTTTGTTGTATTTTTTGCAGTGATTTCAGCACGTGAAGCCCCAGGAAAATGCAGCATATTTGAATCCCTGTGTAGTGTGGGAAAAGCTATTTGTGTCTGTAGTTGCTGGATATCATTTGCAAGGCACATTCTGTGTTCAACATGCCCGGGTCAGCCTTGTGCTTGAAGGCTGTCCACAGGAGTGACAGCCCAGCAGGACTTACGTGTGCACAAATGGAACAGCAAAGCCTGAACGTCCCTTCCCGTGCCATGTGCTGAGACAAACAGCGAGTGGAGAGCAGCAGGGCGTTCCCAGAAGGGCTGAGGATGTGGCCAAACAGCTCCTGGCAGCAGGTGCCAGGGTGGAAGTGGCTGTGGTTCCAGATAAGATGTCAGGTGCAGTGTGGGACTGCTGGGGAGCTGAGAGCTGCTGGCGTTGGCTGGAGAGCACTCAGGGCAGTGCTGCTGGGGCTTCTGCAATATCCATACACCTTTAAAAACCTGTTTCTAAATACTTATTATAAATTACAAACGATGTAGTTGACACAAATATCTATTTCTCTTGCTTGTGAAGTGTGATACTCCAAGCTGAACGCCTGTTTTGCACCCTGTGAGCAGGGCTGCTGCTGTGCTGTGAGCACATTCTTACACAGTTCATTGCTGGAACAAGTGGTTTCAGCATGTCCTAATGCAATAGGTGCAGATTGTTCCTGGTTTTGTGTACACACGTATGGAACTGAGAATGATAATTAAATTGATCCTTTCTTTCTCATTGGAAGTTGACAGCTGATCCTTGTATACAGGTTCATTACTGCATATACTGTTTCTGTGCTAAGACACTTTTTTTCCACCAGTCTGAGGGCAGTTCTGTCCAATGCTTTCAGTTCCCATTGCCTTCTCTTGAAAACAGAAACAGTAATATGAAAATTTAAAAATACTGAAAAACTTGAAATGCTAAATGGGAGCTCTCTAAGTGGGATGACACCAGTGTAGGTAGGAGCATGCACTGCTCCTTCCTGCCTTGTGCCAGTAGCCCACCCTGAGCACGTTCTGTTCCCCAGCTCCATTGGGTGACGTGGGCAGGAGAGCGTGCTGCAGTCAGGCTCTGCACCTCATGGCACAGATGTACACCCCATCCTGTATGGCTCAACAAATGCATTTGAGCAGTTTTGCTGCAGCTCTGCCAATTTTCCACCTGCACGGGTCCTCAGCAAGAGGTATGGATCCATTTGTTGGAAACAGCTGATCAGGAATGGAGCATCTGTCCAGGAACAAACGTTTTGATGAGGCCATGGGTGGCAAAACATTTTCTGTGGTACTTTTTTTTTTTTTTGCCCGAGGCACCTCCCTTTTGCTGTCAACATAATACATCATCTGTCTGGGAGCAGTAGCAGTGAGATGGGATTACTGACAGCTTCTCCGCTTCTTTATTCCTTGCCTCTCATCACAGCCACTGCACAGCATGGGGAATGACAGAACGTGGAGCTCCTTTGCTGGTGCTTTGCTCAATTAACCCACGCAGGGCTGGGGATTGCCCTGGAGGAGGATGGAGATCAGCTCTGAAATCTTCCTGATCCTGCAGGAGTCCTGCTGTACTCGAGGGGCCTTTCCACCTGCAGTGAGTGCAGAGGTGTCCCTGGGCTCCTTCCTAGGGGCTGGGAAAGGGAGCTGTGGGAAGCCCACCTGCTGTGTCCCAGGAGGTGCTGGGGCTGCAGGAGCCAACACTTCCTCCCAGGGGGGAGATGCATTGCTCCGTGTGAGCTCTGCTGCACTGCCTGTGCAGGACAGGTCTTTCTCCTCCCCTCGCCTTAAGGTTTGCACCTTTGCTTTGTCTGCGTCTGCTGGATCTTGCAGGAAAGTCTCTGGAGTGAGGGTCACAGCTGTGCAGGAGCTGAGCACCTTTTGCCATGGAAAAAGGGCCAGAGCTGGCAGGGGAAAGCCTCTGGGTGATGCGAAAGGGCCTTGAAGCTACCTGACTTCAGGAGAAAGCCAGGAGGGGTAAAACGGTCCGTGACCTCTCCATGCTGGCCTGATTGGAGCTTGAAAGGGAGCTGTGGAGCCCTGCTGCTCACTGCTCGAGTGGTGACCTCATCCCTGCGAAAGTTAATTCAGCCAGGAGCAGCCTGAAAGCTCTCGAGATCCGTATCTGTAAGGGACAGGGATGGCCCTCAGCCTTCAGGAGAACTGCAGTGCTGTGAGGGAAGGTCCGAGAGAGATTCTGCAGCTTCCTGAAGTTATCTCAAGCTTTCATCTCCAAATACAAAGGCTCATGCAGACTTTGTATTCTGTTAGTGTAACACCGAATGTCCTCGTTCTTCAGGTATTTATAGCAACTTACACAGCTCCCATAATAGCTTTTTTGGCTCAGCACCTCACAACAGAGTGCATTGTTATCCCCTTTCCATGGATGTGGAATTAGGGCACACAGATGCAGCCATTTCTGCTGGATTTCCCATAGCCCAGAGCAGAGTCCTGGCCCCACAATACTCTGAGATGCCCCAGATGTGATCAGAGCCCTTGCTCTGTGCCTCAGTTTCCCCATCCACAAAAGTTGCATTGTAACAGGTTAAGCAGCAGACTGAAGTGGTATAAAGCCAAATTACTTTCTGCTAATGCCATTTCTTGCACCCTGATAGTGCAATCAGCATGATGCACTTTTGCATTATAATGTAGTGGTGATGTTATGCTGCAGTGTATTAATTAAATTCTTCAGTATTATCCCCTACTGATAGAATAACTTGATAGTGGGAATGGAACTCAAGCTTGTCATGGATTGGGTTGGGAGCTCTGGGAAGATGGATTCTCCCCAATGCAACCAAAGTGGTGATACAGAGGTGGAGCTCTATAATGTTTCCATTAATGCTGCCATAGGAATGTCTGCAGCTCACAGTCCCTGTGTCTCATCCTGCAGGTACTGAATGCACGTGTAGTTGTGTGCCTGCTCCAGCAGGGCTGCAGCCCAAAGCTGTGCCTGCTCTGCAGAACTGTGCTCCAGCACATGTACATCAAAGGTCTGGAAGGCCTTCGGTGGAGATGTGCTGTGCAGATGGGAGCTTACAATTTCTAACAGGGAGGTACAGCTGCAGGACCCTTTAAGGATTGTGTTCAGTGCAGTGCAAACTTCTCTATGGCTGTGGTCTTAATGTGCCCTGTTTCATGATGGTGATTAGTTGGATTAAGTTGTATTGATATAAGCAAAGTAGGAGTGAGACAGTTGCAATAAATACAATGAGCAGCGATCGCTCCGTGCCAGCTGCAGAGCTTTGGACACACTGGGCACACAGGGCTGGAGGTGCTGGGACAGCCAGATGTGGGCTCTGTGGCATCTGCTGCTCCAAGCAGACCCTGCTGGAGCCAGGGCTGGGGGCACCCCTGGGCACGCAGGGCCTTGCAGTGCAGCACCAGTGCTTCTGACCTGAGGGATGCAGAGGAGGAAAAGGTGAAACGGCGAGGGCAGCAGTAGAAGGAGGCTCAGATTACATCAGGGCTGCCTTTTAATTGCATTGTTGAATTCCAGTTTCTAACTCCCCGAGACGAGACATCAAACAGAGTGTTAAAATTGCTCGAAACCAAGCTGCAAGTCTCAACACCAGAATGCCTATTACACTTATCTGTGACCTTTTTAACGTTAAAACCACCATATTATTATTATTTTTACATCTCCACGTTATTATTAGGCTTCTGAAATCTGCTGCAGCTTGATTTATGGAAAATGCTTAGTCACTGGCACCGGTGCTGTGCTGTGAGGGAGGGATGCTCTGAGGTGCCTTGGCAGCCCAGCAGCCCCATTGCCCAGGCAGCCCTGTGCCCTCAGCTGCTCACAACCTGCCTGCTGGCAGCCTTCCTCTTTGAAGGCTGTGGGGGAAATGACCCCACACCCACTTAATGAACCTCTCTGATCAACGGGGTCACACCAGCCTCATTCTTCACGTGAAAAGCAAGCTTTGGTTCTGCTGCATGCTTTGCCAGGAGCTCTGCCCTAGATTTTAGACAGGTTGTGGGCTGGTGAATTTGAGATTTGGGTTTTGGAAGAAGCACCTTTGGTGACAGAAGCAGGAAGTGCTGTTAGAGAAACCTCCTGCTTTTCCTGGAGCACTGCTGTGTCCTTCGTTGCCATCCAGCAGCCCTTGGAGTGCTTCCCCACGGATCTGTCTGTGGAGCCAGGATGGCATGGGCTGTCTGGTGAGGTGTAGGGGCACAGCACAGGCTGGGATGAAGCTGTGGGTCGTTGTGGCTCATTGCAGGGGACTGGGATCCAAGGGGCTTGGAAGGTCTGTTCCAATTCAGCCATTCTGTGACTCCATGGCTCTCAAAGCCCAAATAGGGAAGGGTTCCTGCGCCGAGCCATGTGCTGCTGTCCGTGACCCTGCTTAGCTGAGCTCATACCCGGAGCAGACGCTGCAGGACAGGCCCTTACATGACAGCATTCATCCTGGGTTTTACATACACGAGACCATAGTAAGTGCTAATAATTGGCTGCAGTCTAAAGACACCAATTATAAACCAGTTTCTCGCTATTATTTGCTGAGTAATGGCTCTGTTGAATTCTTCATAAAGCAAACGCAAGATCCCAGACCTCAGCCCTGCACCATGCGTGCCTGCATGGCTCCAGAGGGACGGCTGCTCCCCTCGTCCTTGCTCACACCTTGCTGTGCTGCAGAGCTGCCATCCGGACCTCAGCAACAGGCGAAAGGAGAGGGATAAGAGATCCCAACTGTCTTCATCCCAGTTTCTTCTGTGGGTAGGCTTGAGGCTCACTGATGGAGCGTGCCTCCTTGCAACACACTGGTGTCTTGGAGGTCCAAATGGGAAGGCCAAAGAACACCCCTGGAGGAAGGAGCTTAGCTTTGCCATTTGCACTGGAATAAGCCTTTGTGGAACGTATTTAAGGAGCTACCAGAAGTAAAACAATGATTCTGCTCGGCGGAGTCTGGTGGACAAAAAGAGGCGCAGATATAAAGTCCTGAACTGCTGAGAGCAGTTGGAAATAACGGATTAGTTCTTCTCTCCTGACTCAACGCCTTTATTCTTTCAGACATGATTTTTTATTGCCCGCGCTCCTGTAATGTGTTGTGGTGACTCAGTGAAAGGTCTGCAATAATGTTTCATTGCTGGGAAGTCACCAGATAGCCACAATTCATCGCCCAGGCTCACACGGTTACAAGTGCTTAGAATACAGCCAGAAACGGGCCGTAATCGATAGAGGAGGATAAAATAAGAGCTGGGAAAAGCATTGCAGAGCATGTATTGAGGAATTACACACTCAGAAAGCAATGTTCTGGACACGTTCTGGGAATGACATGAGTTATCTGATGCTGTACCTGATGGGACAGCTGTGCTGCTGCAGTGTACTTTCACCTTTCTGTTCCAGCAGACCACCCCAGGCCCTGCCTGCTCTGTATGACAGCAGGGCTGCCTGTGTGCTTCCTGTCGAGCCCCCCTTCCTGGGGAGCTGATTCAGTGTGCTGTGTCTGCAGGGCCATCTGAGAGCCACGAGTGAAGCTTGGCTTTGTAACAAACCTGTCGACTTAAGGCGTTTGGGGGCATAAATCCCATAGATCCGCGTTTTGTGTAATGTGCTGTCAGCCAAGTGCCTTTTGCTAAAAGGAATTATGTTCTAAAGCAAACACAAAACACAGCAAAACTGGGAGAATATAAAAATTGAGTGTTGGCTGTGCAGCATCGTACGGCCCTGTCCCGGTTTGGATCCATTTCTCAACTATTGTCTGCTTTCAGCCCAATAGTAAAGTCATATTTATTTACTTGGCTCCGCTGCGTTAATGAAAAAGCCACTTAACAAAACAAATAGAAGGAAGGACATTTGCAACCAATTATGGTATTGCTGATCAGTCAAATTGTGCTGGAAATTACATGTTGGAGTTCATTCGAGGCAGCTGATCAATTACCTGGTAGCTTGGCATCGGCGCGCGATATCAACTTAATAAATCAATTTAATTTCAGCCTCTGCGCCAGAATATATATATGTATATTCAATATGACATCAATATTATATAATGATGGTTAAAACTAATTGGCCGAGGGCTGCGCTTTCTTATCTGCTTTGCAGCCCTGCCGCAGCCCAGCGGCGTTCCAGCAGCCCAAAGCAGTGTGGAATTTGGCTAGCTATTCTTTAAATATACCCCTGGGCACCATTTAAAATGGTGTTTTTAAAGCCTTTCTTTTTTGTGTGACCACAAGGGAAGTTCTCACTCCAGCATGTAATTCAGGGCTGGCCCAACTGCTGGCGCGCTGCAATGGGAACGCATTGCTGCTTTCCTGCAGCAGCAGATGCACACCTTCGTGGCTCTGTGCACAGGTTCCTCCTCTAACTTAGCCAGGACATTTTGGCTGCCATAACGCAGGCTTGGTTTAGAGGTGAAGGCTGAAAGGAGCAGTTTCTGCTGAAAACAAAGTTTGCTTGAAGTACAGGGAGAGATTTCTGAGATGCCAGGGCCCGGAGCTCAGTGGTGTGCAGGCATGAGAGGGTCTCTCTCAGAGCTGAGCTGCAGGTGCTCACCCAAAGCAGACAGGCCAGCCCTGTAGTTTGCAGGCACTCATACCCGTGGGGATGGGGATATAAAGGGATGGAGTCCAAGGACCTTCCTTGGGTTGTGGTGGGTAATGCTTTGCCAAGAGCAGAGAGAGAGAACAAGGAGAGCAGGAAGGAGAGGATCAGCCCATCCATTGCTCAAAGGAAGGGCAGTGCTGTGTAGCTTTGGGGGCACAGAAACCCCAAATGCTGCGGGCTCTCTGCAGACAGGGGTGGCTGGTCCATATCCCTGTGCTGCTCTTCCAAACAGCCCCAGAGCATCACTGGGCCCAGTGCTGGGAGACACTGCAACAGCAATGAGGGAAGGGTGGGAGCAGGGATTTGGGTTGCTCTGCTCTGTAGCTCTGGTGCAGTCTTTGGGGGATATTGGAGTATTTTTCCAATTTATATTTTGATTACTGTGTATTTACTTTGATGTCATTACCAATTGGCATCACAGAGCGTGGGTGGCACCCTGGCTTTTTGCTCTGCCAAATGCTTTATCATCTGACAGCAGCTTCGCACAGATGAGGCTTCTCCTGAGAGTTCCAGAACTTCCTAGCAGAAAAACACGATGAGAAAGTCTGGTCTTGTGGTGGTTTATCCTTTCTGACTCTGCCCATCACTCAAATCAGAAATGGCAGTGGTCTGTGGAAAAAAGAGTAATAATTAAAAAATAGATGCTTACTTGTATTTTTCCAAACCACCAAGCCAGTCTGCCCATTCCTGAGAAAAGACGCAATCAAATAACGTTGTCCTTAATGCCAGAACGCAGAATAATGCCTAGATGGGGTTTCCAAAGATTGTTATGCTTGTCCTGTCAAATGCAGATGATTATCAGCTGGCCTTTCCTCCGCCCCAAATCTAGAAATGTTAAGAACTCTCATCTGCATTCATTTCTTTGCGTGGTTTGAGAACATTTTCCTTTTATATCAATTTCTTTCACACGAGGGTTCAAAGATGCGATGTAAAAGCGTTGGATTCGGATGGGGGAGTTGGATCTGTGTACGCACACAGTTGGACTGGGAGAGCATCCCATCCCAGCGTGGTGGGATGTGCAGGAGGTGTGAGATCCTGAGTGCAGAGCAGCAGAACTTCCTTAAGGTTTCATTCGATGTGAGTAATAGAATAACTCAGATTCTTTCAGGAGCAAATGCAGACGTCTACAAAGCAGCTCCTTCTTTCTGATTCTCTTCAAACTGAAAGCCACCATCACAATGTCTTAACTCTCATCCACCACAGTAGCAAACACCTTTCTCTCTGCAGAGAGCCCTTTATCACAGCTTTGGGTTTGGGTTGGTGTGTTTCCATGCAGGTGGGACAGACACTGAGGAGCGATGCACTTTCTCCTCCCACCTGGAGTGGGGAGCATCTGCCAGAAGTGCACGTGTTGCTCAGGTTTGGGACTCGGGGTCCCATAGGGTGCTCTGCTGTCATGGCTGTTAGCAGGGAGCAGTGGGTCTGTGCACTCACTGCATCTCCTCCTGACACTTCTCTCCCAGGCAGCACTGCAGGTATGCCTGGAGCTCTCCCAATTCTCACCTTCCAGCTGTGTACAGAATCACAGAATCACAGAATGGCCAGGGTTGGAAGGGACCTCAAGGATCACGAATCTCCAACCCCTCTGCCACATGCAGGGCCACCAACCTCCCCATTTAATACTAGACCAGGCTGCCCAGGGCCCCATCCAACCTGGCCTTGAACACCTCCAGGGACGGGGCATCCACAGCCTCTCTGGGCAGCTGTTCCAGCACCTCACCACTCTCTCTGTAAAGAACTTGTGTACGTGTGTGTGCTCCCACGTGCTGTCACAGCTGCTGCCACTCAGCACACGGCTGAGGCTGAGGTGAGGATGATGAAGGTGAAGGGACTCACTGAAGCACGCAGCTCCCGGTGCTCCAACAGGGCACGTCTGCAGGACAGCCTCTGCCCAGAGCACAGCACCGGAGCCCCGAGGCAGCTCTTTGCAGCGGACTGCAGGTGCCACAGAGGGATGGGTATCTCCAGCAGCACCGCGTTCATATGGCTCATCCCCCGATCCCACTGTGGGCACGTTTGCATAAGAAAGCAACTGGGTGAGTAATACCTGCTCTGCAGACGACGAGAGCTGGAAGGATTCTGCGGTAAACCTGTTGCTGGGAGGACGTGCTTTACTCAGAAAACCAACGATGAAAGCCTGTGTGGCAACATCTGTCCTTTGAAAGTGACGGAGCCCAATCTCCTGTACAAGCAACTGTGTGATTATCAGAATAACTGATCTCACCGGTGCCTGCACGAAGCGGAGCGGGCACAGCCTGCAGCCTTACTGCCTCGTGCTCGTGCTGCTCCGACAGCACACTGCTGCTAATTGCGGTGTGTTTCTTATGTGGAGATAACCAGGCTGGTCCTGAAAAGTGTTATTAAAGAGCCGTGCCGTGCTGAAGGTGGTTGTTGTGCAGGCTGAGCAGCATGCAGGGCTGGCGGTGCGTGTGCTGAACTTCCCCGAGGAAGGTGTGCGACTGCACAAGGGAAAAACAAACTGCAGGAGGATTTTCTCATTTGTAAGCTGAGAAAATAAGTCATCTGCGAAACAGCCAACAGCTTTCAGTTACTGTGAAGATCGGAATCTCACTCCCAATTTCACATCATGATAAAATCCAGGCATTTCGTTAACTTAATGCTCCCGAGGTTTAATTACCGCCGCTCTGTAATCAGAATCAAATGCAATCCACAGCTCTGAGCTTCAAGGAGAAATGCAGCTCTGCACAAAGCAGTCAGTAAAAGGAAGGTGCATGCGTGGCACCTGCTCAGGTTTTGTGCTCCCTTCCACAGCTGGACCCACAGCTCTGCTATTGCTGAGCATCCCGCCAGGCCTTGAGGTCACTCCAGCAGTCACTGAGCTCCTGGTTACTACATTTTAACTTTGTCTGAAATTTCTATCTATGTGTCTCCTCCTCTGGAGACCTCAGGACTCCCACACCACACCTCAGTCCAGACTAGTCTCACCCTAGGTGCTGTCCTCCCTCTACAAGTTATCTCCTCTTTTGCAGTGCACTTTCTGAGCCCAGAGCTCTGCCTTCATCCTCTGGTGAGAGCTGTGATGCTCTGTGTTTTACTCATCATTTTGCACATGGGGTTTTAGTGAGCAAAGCCGTTATCCCCAGCACAGCCCTTCCCACAAGAAGCAGCACACTTTGCAGGCAGCCCCTCCTGGCTCGGGGAAGCAGGAGATGCCCTATTAACAGTCCTCACACAAACACAGTGCTAGCCTGGCCACTGCCAGCACTTTCCATCCAGGAGCAGTATTTGTTTTTCCATCCTCTTAATCTTATAAATTGAATGGAAGCTGATAAAAGGGACTTCCTGAATATTACGAAACGTTTGGTGTCTGTCGGGATGGAAGACAAACAAACCCGACCTTGAACTTGGAAGGTCTCCCCATGGCAGGTAGCACTTCCAAAAGTCCCTGTGAGCAGCAGCTTCTCTCAGGAGCAGCCTCAGCCCCCCCAGCCCCGTGCTGCAGCCGGAGGAGCACATCCCTGTACCAGGGGAGGAATCCTGTCCATATCTGGCATCATTTAGCCTCCGGGGATTAATTAAAGGCTTTTTCAGTTTTTCTTTCAACCCCCACAACATTCGTCTCTGCCTCACTGAATAGGGAAAAGGAGAGGCATTTTCTCTGGTGAATCACCAGGCTGTTTCAATTTTCGGTTTTACATTGCAGTAATATTTTGCTCCTAGGGGAATCCCACAGGAAGGCCCAGCTCCAGCCTCTCAGCATCACAGTGTTATGTCACTAACCCGAGCTGCAGATCTGCAAAGGAAACATTCCCCGCACTTGGCAGTAGTGCCCTCCTTTCCTTCCTGCTCCTTTCCCCTCTCCTTGAGGTGGATTTGGGGCTGCAGATAGCC